ATATATTTTCCAATATAGTTGACTTACACATATTAGTTTCAGGTGTACAACGCAGTGATTAGACATTTATATAACTTACGAAGTGATTAGCCCATTAATCCAGTACCCGTCCTGACATCATACATAGTTATTACAATATTACTTACTATATTCCCAGTGCTATGCTATACATACCCATGACTATTTTGTAACTACTAATTGTATCTTTTAATTCCCTTTCCTGCTTCACTCATCATGTTCCTCACCAAAAAGCAACCATTAAAATGCTCTTTGTATCTATGAGCTTGTTTCTGTTTTATTTGTTTGTTTACCCTGTTCTCTAGATTTCACATATAAATGTAATCATATGACATTTGTATTTCTCTGTCTGACTTCACTCAGCACAATACCCTATAGGTCCATCCATGTCCATCATTCTTTTTGTGGCTGAGTAATATTCTGTTGTAGGTATGTACCACCTCTTCTTTATCCATTCATCAATTGATGGGCACCCAGGTTGCCTCCATATCACAGCTATTATAAATAATGTTGTAATGAAAATATGGATGCACATGTTCCTTCGAAGTAATGTTTAGGGTATCCTGGAAATGAAATTAATGAGTCCTTCTTTGTTTCTTGTTATAGTCTTTGTTTTAAAGTCTATTTTGTCTGGTATAAGTATTACTAACCCAGCTTTTTTTTTTTCTCCATGAAATATCTTTTTGCAGCCTTTTATTTTCAGTCTGTGTGTGTCTTTCAATCTGAAGCGAATCTCATCCAGGCAGCATATGTAAGAGTTTTGTTTTCTTATCCATTCAAACACCCTACACATGAGTGTGGGACCCGCCTGTTCCCTATCACTGCCCCTCCTATCAGTCTTGACCTGGCTTCTTCTGAATGTCCTTAGTTACAGGTAGACTTCAGGTGATTCTCAATGATGGTTGTTCTATTGTTCAGTTGTAATTGTGATGTGGTCGTGAGAGGAGACAATCACATATTATTTATCTACTCCAACATCTTGACCAGAATTTTATCATTTTTTCTTGAGTGGACAATTTCCCTAGGAGTTAGCAAGTCACAAGTAGCCTCTCGTAGTGGACATTATTTCCAAAACAGAATCAAGAAACATAGCTGTTTCCTTCTCTACCTCTACAAAATTGGCTAGAAAAGAGGGGATATGTCTAATCCTGAGAGTAAAAGACATGAAGAGTGATCTTCCACACAACTGCAGCTCGATTACTTTGTTTTTAAAATGGTCTTTGTTTGTCTTAAAGTACCTTAAAAATAAAATATTATACATATCTTTTCCTTAAATCTGATTTACCAATAAAACTTCCTTAACTCTTCAGATGAGATCTTTAGCCTCCTGCTCTAATTATTCCTTTCCCCCCACCCACGACATAACTTAGATGCATTATATTTCCAGGGCATTGGCACCTTATCTTACTTTGGATTACTTTTAAGGCTCTCTTACACTACTTTAACTCAAGAAAGGTGCCTAGTCCACCTTTCCATAGTCTTGGACTTCAGAAAGTTCTCTATGTGTGAACGTTGGAGGGGTAAAGACAAAATAATAGTAGGCCACAGCAGGAAAATAAAAGAATGCTAAAATGTACAAAGGATAAATTAAAAATCATAATCTCTCTACTTAGAGCTAACCAATATGTTTGGGTATGTCTCTTTCTAATGCTTTTTTCTATGTGTACATATTTTGAAAATTATATTGTAAACTTCCTTCTTATCATTGTATGTTTCTTAAAAATATGACTTTTTAAATCCCTAAATATATAAACAAGTACCTTCTAAGAGTTAGCATTTTGTTAAATTACATTCATCATATCAAAATTTGCATTTAGGAAGTGGTATTATTTAACGACATTTAATAAATGTTTATATTAGAAATTTCCCAATTAGCTTTGTAATGTTCTTTAGTCTTTCAGCACCCAGGAATAATATAGGTTCATGCATTAAATGTAATTGTCTTGGAAAATATGATTTTTAATGGGAGTGATGTTTTATGTGTCCCTAATTTATTTAATCATTCCCCTACTGTAGAACATTTAGATTGTTTTCCATTTGTAGCTATTATAAATGACACAGTGATGAACATAGATGTACATAAACCTTTGGGTGCATTTGTAATTATTCCCCAAGTATATTTCCTGCAGGCAGGAAGGCTGCCTGTGGATCATGCGGGCATGCGCTTGTGGGTTGTACATCTCCCTGTAACAGTTTTATGGGCACCGCAGGTAGTCCTAAAGGTTTTACTCACTGGCATTTCCACACCGAAGATGCAGATGCACAGCTCTGAGACAAGAAAGAGTACATGTTTCCTTTTGCCCTGTGGTCTTGCCAGAAGCACTGCATTTATTTAAAAACTGTCTATCCTCGGAGGAATTGGAGAGCAATGCTTGGCTTTGAAATCAAACAGTCCTTGGTTTGAACACTTAATTTCACCACATTATAACTGTTTCAACGTTTATAAGTTATTTCAACTCCCAGAGCCTTAGTTTCCTCTTCTCAAAAAATGCGAGAAACACCTACTCGTGGCATCTATGTGGGAACACAAAAACAATAAGTCCATGTGCATGATGAATTTTTGTTACTTCTTCCTTCTCCTTCCCCACTTTAGAAACTCCATTATGCAATTCATTGCAAAGGGGACAGAAAAGCCATAGAATGTTTGGGCGGAATATAGAAAACATAGGCATCAAAATCTCTGAAATATTTCCAAGGTA